ATAATTATTAATACATATGTAAAATTTAATGATTCTTAATAATATCAAAAACTTCTTTAATATCTGGTCTATTATCTGGTAATTGATCCCAACATCTGACGTAAATATCCTTATACCACCCTGGTGTGTCTTTAACTGGAGTTTCTCCTTTTCCGTTATAAATATGTACTACGATTGCTTCTTCAGTTTCAAAATTTTTAAATGGTTTTTCACCACTTGAAATTTCCCAAAGGACAACACCCAACGAATAAATATCTGATTTTTTTGTTAATTCGTACTTGGTGTCTGCGATGATGTACTGAGGATCGATATACGAAGCATTTTTCCTAAGACCATTAATTGGTCTAGTTTCTTCATTCTCAAACTTGCTAAATCCAAAATCGGAAAGCTTGGCAGTATGTTGTGAAATTAAAATGTTCTTGGACCATATATCTTTATGAATTATATTGTGATTATGTAAAAAATATAGACCACAAGTAATATCTTTACAAAGTTTAAGCTTTTCATTCCATGTTATCGAATCAAATTTATCTTTTAGATATTCTCTTAGATTTCCCTGATCCGCATATTCAAAAACTAAATTGAGAGGGTTGTCAGAACAACATCCATAAAAGGTAATGATGTTTGGATGTTTCCTCCTTAATTTTGAGATAATATTAAATTCATTTTGAAATTCGCTATTATCTTTTAAAAAATTTTTGATAACCGCATCTAGTTTTAACGATGTCCATTTTGTTTTAAAAATCTCCACATTGATATTTTTATAAATTGACTCTTTATCAGAAAAATCATTCGGATCGATTTGTTTGAGGTTGGACATTTTTACATTGTAAAAGATTCAATGTTTAAGGTTTTATTTTGATTTGTTTATTAATTTATTAGAACATCATTATTAATTATAGGAATATTTAAATACAAAATACATATGTAAATATTAAAACAAAATATAATGTCATCTGAAAAAAACTTTGAAGATATTGTAAAAAAAGTTATAGATCTTTACAGAGATGACCAATTAGAATCCGCTTATTTGTTAGCAAAAGAAAATATTGAAAAAATTCCGTCAAATCACATATTTTATGATAGTATCATTTTTTATTTCTCTTTAACTATTTTAAAATTGAAGAAAGATGAAGAAATCGCTAAAGTCTATGAATATAAAGATTATTTTGAAATGTCATCTAAGTATTCAAAAACCAAAGAAAAAAGAAATATCACTAACAAATTTTTTTGTGAACTTTTTGATGAAATTTCACATTATGAATCAGAAAGATCAGAAAGTCTTATATTTGATACCGAACATGCATTTGATGAAGAAAAACAAGATACTAAAATATTAGCTAACGAAATCGAAAACGAACTATCAGAAAGATTATTTTCATCTATTGAACAAATCTAAAGCGTAATTAACGATCATTATGCTTATAATAAAGGAAATAAGAGTATCAAAAAATATGAAATTGAAATAATTAACTAAGATGGTTGATATTATAACCCCTACAGATTCTACCATGTCTGATAAAATATGTAGATACATCCCATATAACGAATCATCATTATGATAATCTGTATGAAACATCACAACCCCTAATAAATTAACAAAAAATCCTCCTAAACTTGTTATTAATAATTTATTTTTATTTATCTCTGGTGTGTTGAATAGTCGTTTGTAAGCTTCATTTAAGATTGTAAATGATGTTATCAATAATAAAATAGCGCTAATAATATTTGAATTTCTTTCTATTGTTTTTATTGATTTTTTGTTTGTGATAAATATATTTTTAAATACAAATATAATTATCGTGATCAAAATACCTAAACAGTCTATCATCATATGTATCGAGTCACTGATTAACGCCAAACTATTTGATTTTATTCCAATCATCATTTGAAAAATTGTATAGAATAACGTCACAAGATATTTTTAACAACATCGTCTAAATTAATTTAAAAGAAATCATAACTATTTGTATTTAAACAAATTAAAACTTAGTAATTAAAAATAATATTTAATCTCATTATTCATTTTATTCATACAATTATAAAAAATGGAAAACCAAAAAATTCACGAAATCGCATCACGTTTGTTTAATAATCAATTAAACAACACTATTTATCAAACAAAAAGAACATGTAATTCGTATATTATCTTTAGAACATTATATTATGAAGAGCAAATGGAAAATTTTCAATACGGAAAATGTGATAACACCTCAAAAATTTGAAGTAGAATGTCGGATAAAGAAAAAGAATTTTATCGTCATATAGCTAAAGAAATGAAAAGAATATTTGAAACCCAAAAACAAAATTTAAAAAATAATTTATTTATTTCATGATTTGTTTATTTGTAAATAACATATCATATTACATATATTTAATCGTAACGATTAACAAAATAAAAATATTTATTTTCATGGTCATATGCACAAAGTTGGTAGGCGGAATTTATCGCTTCATTTAGGGAAATTGTAATAATTTCTTCTGGTTTACTAGACATCTTTTCTTTTTTGTTTACATGATTTGGATTTTTTAATTGGTTTAAATAATCTGTTATATTCTCAAACCATTTTCGAACCATTTCACTTTCATTTTCCCATCTATTTGCGATAAACCTTGAAACCAATTCTTGTTTTACAATATATTTTTCTTTAAGTATATTAGAAATTTCACTTCTGTATAACATAAACGGATTCGGTACCCGTGAACGTTTATTTAAATATTTTTTATCATATTTTGCTAATATTTTTTCCTTGGATGATTCAAAATCAATATGAAGAGAATTAATATAATTTTGTATTTCATCATATTGAGATAATATAATATTATTTCCCATTGGTGTTTGATGATAACATTTAAATTTTAATATCTTTTATTGAATAGGAATTAATAATACAAAATTAATTTTTTAATAAACTTGTTCTTGTATTAATTTGTTATAATTTCATCATAATCATTCTCTAAAAAAATATTAGTAAGTATATTTTAATAAAATAATTAAAAATAAATAAAATTAATCACCTTTATCATTATCATCACCATCTTCATTTTGGTAATTACTTCGAGCCTTGATTTTTTCTTTTATTTCTCTGACATAATCCGATGTGTTTTGTATGAAAGAACAAATTTTTTGTGTGTTGAGATATTGTGAAATCAAAGATAAGGATAACCCAATCACAACACCAGTGGCCATATCAGAATTAAAATATCACCATTCGTTATCTTTCTTCTCATTATTTTGATCAGTATAACATATGATCACGTTATTTGTAAAAATTAATTGTATTATAAATAAAATAATAATTGATAATTTGCAAATATTCATTTTTTCTTGTTCTTTTCACCAAGAAATAACAAATAGCTTTTATGGGAAATCTTGACTTGGATAAATATGATGTCCAATACAGAACATGATTATCAAAAAGAACAGATTCTAACAAAAAATCTTATAATGACATTAGACATGTTATCATAAATGGAAGATCGTTCTTTGAAATGAAAACAAATCTGGAGAATATTACATTTTTATTTGATATCGAAATATACAACAAATATTCAACATATATATGGACCACTAAAAAGCTTAATAACTATTACAACCTAGCAGTTTGCATCAAAGATAAAAATGGAACCATACATCAAAAATTATACAAAAGAATTCTAGAAGAAGAAGGGTTTGATAAAAATTTCGGCACACAGAGCATTGCAAAAAAATCATTAAATTTGCAAAAAAAATAAACATGTATTTTCATTTTATTCATTTTCTTTTTAATTTTAATTTAAAATTGAAATAA